GCGCCGCCCGGGCCACAGTCCCGGGAGAGGAGAGGGGCGGTCTGGCTTGGAAGGGGGTCCGCTCGAGGTGCAGGGCACAGGCGTTGAATAGCTCGACATCCCTCCGCCCAAGCCGGGGACGGGGCGAGAAAAGCAGGGCCCTGGGCCTCTTGAGCTGGAGGCCGGGCGGGGATGCCCCCAGGAACAGAGGGCGCGTCCCGTAGAGACACGTGCGGGGGGGCTCTCCTCAGCTGGAAGGGGCGCGCTCCCCAGCGCTCCTTCCGGGGGTCCCCACTTCTTGAGCAGCTAGCTTTCTGCTTCAGGGGCGGTCAGCGTGAAAGATGGCGCAGGAATACTGGCGGAACCGACGTTGGCGTGCTGGAGCTCCTGATTTTAAGAGGAACAGCCCTGCGAGCACTTCGACGCTTAGTTTGGGCTTTTAGGAAGCAACTGGTAGGAAAACCAGAGCAGTAATGAGGACGGGAGGCGCCCATGGGGCCTCATAAAGGCTTGAGCTGTTTATGGAGGAGCTACCAAAAGCAGTTGCAAACAATTCAAGGCAGGAGCGGAATGCGGAATGGTTGAGGAAGCCATAATGGCTACCTCGGAACGGGGCTAAGATTAGGGTTGTTTGGGCTGCAGAAAGCTGGACCACCCCTAGATGGCAGAGAACAGGGCAGAAAGGTCTCTTTGCTAACATCTCCTGATTGTGTGGCCTTTTTGTAGGGGCCGGGCTAGGAATGGGGGACCCCTGATGTAGCCCCTCTTCAGCTCTGGAAGTTCCCAGGAGGGTTGGGGTCAGTCACTCTCTGCCAGCCCCACCTGCTTGTAAGGCTGCTGCTGATGTGAGGAAGAGCAACGGAAGAAACAGGAGAGTCAGGATATCAACCTAACAAAATAATTGGAGAACAAGTCAGCCTTGCGATGTGGCTGCTAAAAAAGGCAAATTCAGTTTTAAGCTGCATCCTCAGAATAAGTTTCCCTTTCTCAGGAAGCAGTTTCATTTTGTGAGGAAGATCTGGAGACTAGAAACTGGAAAAACGTCGCACAGAAAATCAGGGCCCATTCTCCATTGTTTCAGAGTGCAGGACACAAAATAATGGATTTAAATTTCAGGAAAGCTCTAGTCAAATGGGGAGGGAAGAGAGACATTTCTGATAGAGCAGTTTGACTGTGGGCTGCCCTTCACTGGGGGTGTTCAGGCAGTGGCTGGACATTCTGGCATCTGTTGAGGGTGCTGGGATTTGGATTCCTGCACTGAGCAGAGGGTGGGCCTTGGGGGCCTACAGTTCTCTTGCATGATGCTTGAATTTGAGCTCTAGGGTTGTATAGATGGCCTTGCTGCTGCCACCAGGCATTTGTAAGTCTAAGGTTTAAAAGTTTTACATTTTGTATTTTCTATTGGAGATTAGTGGAGATATGCAGAATATTGCACGTTAAAGCTTTTTAAAATTCCAAACACTCCATTTTGTGTTCTGATAATTTTAGAAGTGTTTTGCGCTTGAACCAGTCTGTTTCCAGCTTAGATAACCTCGGGTGGTCATAAAGACAGTGGTTAACAAATTTGGAACATCTGTTTTGAACTTGAAACAGTTTGAATTGAAATGCTTTCCATGTTCCCGTTAGGGAGAAGCCTATATAGTTTGCTGAATTAAAAATATAATCATTGAGTCTCGTGTTCTCTCCAGTAAATATGCATAGACTAAAAGAATTGTCCTTTACATGGTTAGTTAATATAGGTGCATGTTAGCTTCCTTAAAAATCATGATAGCTTTCAAGTATCTCCTTCCCCAAATCCTGGGGCCACCTCTTCCAAATACTCAATTTCAATGAAATACTCTTGCTTCTTTTCTTGCCTCCTATCACTACATAATATGTGGACTGTGATGGAAGCCTTAGATCAGGTGTTTTTGCTTCCCCGTACTTGATGCCATATTCAGAGTTATTCTGTTATCCCTACCAGTGCCCATTTTCTCAGGTTGCAGAAAGAGGGGAGCAGAAGTCTTTGGCTGCCCCCTAAATGGTGGCTATTCCATCAGTCTGTCAGAACTATTTTCAGCTCAACTGGTTGTGATAAGGAGGGTAACTTTGACAACTGGGACCTGGCTTTCATTTTTTCTCCAACCTTACCCCCCCCCCTTTTTTTCCTTTGTGCATCAAGATTGGAATATTAGAAACCTGACATATCACTGACATTTGTAGGTTACTCTGGGAGGCTTTTTGGCTAAACAACAGGGTGAAAATACAAAAGTATTGATAAATCTTAGGATGTGCCATTCTGAAAAGTGTGAATTGCTAATACAGATTTAACACAGTTCCCAGAAATATGATAGGTCTAATAACGAGCAGATTGCAACTGATGTTTTGCTGTATTAAAGTTATAACTTTATTTCCTTGGTTTCTGTTGAGGTCTCATTTTGCCTTTCCAGGAGCCAATTTTCTGTGCCCAGATGAAGACAGAATTGAATCTAAATCACAATATGATTTGTTTTAAGTTTATAAAGTCAATTTTAATTGGTTTATGAGTGGGTGCATTCTACAGCATCTCCGTTTTAGTTTTAATCTCCCTTGGTCTTTGCCGACGTTTATGTCCCTGTTTGGCTCTGCTGGAAAAAGTCCATTTTATCCATTTGCTTCATGGCTGAAGTCTCATTCATTCTTGTATAACAATGTAAATTAAACAATACAATGGAATTGGTATATCATGTATATTTTTCACATGCATCTGTTATTTATTTGAATAATTGCTATATCATTTATAGTGAATATTTTAAAAATCTAGTATAAATATTAGAAGGAAATGTGCTAAAATTACAGTATTTTTCTTTCTAGAGAAAAATGCCCAAAAAGCAATGTGGAAAGTTACATTTATCTCAGAGATTATTTAAAAATTGAGAGACAGCCAGATTTAAATAGTAAATTAAGTTTGTGACAACAATAAGTATGCAATGCAGAACCACTGTTTAGATATGCTATTCAGTCTACTAGTTTTGGTGTTTTAAATACTTTGGCTAGAATTATTATTGTTATGACCAGTTTGTCACATTCATATGAGATCTCTCTCAGGAACTGATGGGGTGAGGACAGTAATTGTACAATACATACAATATAGACAGAAATTTATTTCTGTAATAATTCTGTTTTGAGTATAGGAAAATGGCATATACTAGATGAATTCTGTTCAGTGATTTGAAAGAACCATTCTTATTTCATACATTTAAAAAAGCTGGCTGTATTTCTTTGTGTTTTGCAACAGTTTGCCAGATACATTTAGCAGGTCGTTTTTTTCCTCGCATGGCTGTGAAAATGCTCCATTGGTGGATCTTCTCCAGGTGGCCTTGCCATAAAAGATTAGGCCTTGACCATCAGAAAAGGTTGTATCCAAACTGTGGTCCTCCTTCCTGGTCATGTTACCTGCTACCTCATATAAACTTAGGGGGGATGATACGGTGAAAGTGCCGGCCTAGGAGCAGGGAGACCCAGGCCAATCTGCCTTACAGGGTAGTTGTTGTGGAGAAAAAATAGGAGGTAGGACACCAGACTGCCTGTTGGTCCTGTTCTTTTTCAGTTTTTAGCAGTTGGTTTTATCAGCCTGATTTGTTTTTATCTGGTTGTTTATTATTTTATACTTCCTTTAGAGGCTTTCACATGAAATCAGCATGTCTCAGCCCTTGCAGTGAAGAGGAACTTTATCTGTATGGATTGATTACAATGACAATCTCAAGCCATAGTTTGAAGCAACCAAGGTTCTACTTTGATATTGCAGAAGAAAAGTTGAATCCAGTATTACCAAGTATTAGTTATTATCTCTCTATAATTTAGGTTTTGAGGATGCCATGTGCAATTAAAAAGAGTATGAATAAGCCAAAGATATAACCATAATAAAATATACCAGTACAACATAACAGTTAAAAGTAGACTAAATAAGGCAGCAAATAACAACAGCAATTAAATGGTGGATAACAAGAACGTTATAATCAGTAAATTCATTGAGCAAAGACTGAAGGATGTCTAATGTTCATGTAATCTGATTCTAATATATATATTGTGGAAGACAATTTTTGTAATGTGTGTTTGATTATCTGTACCTTCAATTTCTGTGAAAATGAATTCACTCCCTTTCCAATATATTTAATGTTTGCAAATCTTTGCCCCTGAATACTATCAAAGTATCACATGGGTCCTCCTAATATTGAAAGGGAATTGAGTAAATAAGTAGCCCCAATTTTTGGTGCTTGTTTCATGTAAATCATGAACAAAAGTCTTCCAACATACTAGTGTAAAAAAAAGAAATCACTTAGATCCAATAACTGATGCATCACCACAGCTATAATAATTGCAGTCTAAACACTTCTTGTAATTAGTGATAGTTTCACATTGCTGTGCAGAAATTTTGGCTCATTCCTCCATTGCAGATTTTTTTCAATAACATTTAAGGTTTTTATAGCATGACCTTCTTATTTTAAGTCCCACTACAATGTTTCTGTGTGATTTAGGTCTGGATTGTGATTTAGCTTTTCCAAAATACTGATTTGATCATCTTCTCTTGTAGACTTCTTTATATGTATGAGATCATTGTTTTGCTGCATAATTCACTTTGTGCTTCAGCTGAATGATAGATGGCCTAATGCTCCTAGGTAGAAATCATGCTTCTTTTAATGATGGTAAACCATCTAGGTCTTGAGTCAGCAAAGCATCCCTGCCACCTCCATGCGCAAGGTGGTATAAAACTGTTGTGGAATTCAGTGTTTTGTTTTCACTGGAGATT